GTTCCAGCACTTTGAAAAATGTCATTGGAATTTTGATTGGGATGGCATTGAAGGTATAGATTGCTCTGGGTAGCATAGACATTTTAACAATGTTTATTCTGATCCACGAGCATAGAATGTTTTTCCATCTTTTTGTGTCTTCTTCAATTTCTTTCATGAGTGTTCTGTAGTTCCTAGAGTATAGATCCTTTACCTCTTTGGTTAGGTTTATTCCGAGGTATCTTATGGTTTTTGGTGCTATTGTAAATGGAATTGTTTCTCTAATTTCTCTTTCTACAGTTGCGTTGTTAGTGTATAAGAAAGCAACTGATTTCTGTGCCTTGATTTTGTATCCTGCCACATTACTAAATTGCTGTATGAGTTCTAGTAATTTGGGGTGGAGTCTTTTGGGTTTTCCACATAAAGTATCATGTGATCTGCGAAAAGACAAAGTTTGACTTCTTCTTTGCCAATTTGAATACCTTTTATTTCTTTTTGTTGTCTGATTGCTGTTGCTAGGACTTCTAGTACTATGTTGAACAATAGTGGCGAGAGTGGGCACCCTTGACGTGTTCCTGATCTTAAGGGAAAGCTCTCAGCTTTTCCCCATTGAGGATGATATTCGCTGTTATTATCCTAGCATATTTCTTAGTAGAAAAGATTACTGATGCTAGAATATTCATATGTAAAGCTAAGTTTGTCTTTTAAAGAGGCATTTACTTACAAGGCCTTTATTCACAGGACTTTGGTGGAGGAAGCTCCTTGCCTCCTCCAGCTGAAGTCATTTTAACTCAAGGAGAACAGCAAGGACACCATGCCTACATTTAAGGTACTTTCCACAGATGGAGGAAGACAAGGTCTACATACTGGGGAAAACTGAAAAACACCCTTTGTGCTACAGGTGAATACACAGGCAAAGTGATTTAAAGTCACAGAGGGAACACAGACAGGGTGGAACTTGGAAATCCAGCAAGAGGTGAGTAATGAGCTTTCCAATGGTGTGGAATTTCACCTGGTGGGAAATTCAGAGCACTTTGTGAGAAATCTCCTCAGAGATCTAAACTCTTTGGCCTTCTTAAAACATTTAAATAATTTTAAAATATGTTCCAATTTTAGGAAGTGCAGCATTATCTCAAATAGCAAAACTTCCTGCAAGAGAGTCACCCTGATAAGAGAGTACCCTGGGGGCAGAAAGGCTGGGCTCCTTTGACTCCACAGTGGGAGTGGGAGGGAGGGTTCTGACCGGGCCCTCAGAGTTGAAGGTGGAGGGTAGAGAACACCTCAGCACTTGCGTGGGTCCTGGCAGTTTGTCTTGGGAGAGGTAGAAGTGGCTCCAAGGTGACATGAAGGTCAGAGACACAGGAGGCAGGGTGGGCCCAAAGTGGTACCCATCCTAGTTGGGCTCATTGTCAGGAATGCTGTGTCTGCAGATGAGGGAGACATTGGGCACTCCTCCTCATTCACAGGGGCAAGTCCCTGCCTGTTCACGAGCCCTCTTCTTTTTGACTATGATGTCCACTGGAGGGCTTTGACATAAGATTGGTGACCAAGGAAGGCCTCCTGCCACCTAGAGGTAACCCAGGCCTCGCTTCTCAGGCTCTCGTGGCGGTTGGCCAAGGGAGAGCAGCGTGAGCACTGACGCTGGAAAGTGAGGGGAACCTGATCAGAAGGGCCGTAGGCATCGCGCTGAGGAGCCTCCCCTTTGCTTGGACACAATGGGGACCCACAGGAGCAGGGCGCCAACAGAGGTGAAGTCCCACCAGATGTAAAATCCTTCTGTGAGAGGGACTTATTATTCCTATCTGCGAAATGGCTTAACTGCTAAAATAGGCCAACAGAGAACTGAAAGGTCACCCACCTCGTATGTCCCTGAATAAAGTAAAGGGGGTTCCTTTCCTTCTCCTGCAAGAGGAGATGTGCCCTCCGGTGGTCAAAGACAGAGATCCAGGGCTGAGGGGACCTGTGCGGTTCAGAAAGGATGGGGGGCTATCCCGTGGGTGGAGAGATAGGACGCGGGCACATGCGGTCACAAAGGCTTTATCTGGCTGGACCGCCTCGAAGGCAGCTGCGAAAGTGACCATCTGTGCATTCCAGATGCCAGCCTTTCCTGGCCTTCCCTCTATTCTGAGACTCCGCGAACGGCCATGGGCCCTGGAGACCACAGGGGCTCCATGCCAGCTTGGGACTGACTGAGCAGAGGATGGCTTCAAGGAGAAAAGGCCAGGACAAGACAGAGGCCCTGAAGATCTTGCAAAGGCCAGTGGTGTTAAGAGCCTGGACCTGAATGGCGCCTGAGGAGATGGACAGGGGCTACTCTGACCAGACTCGGGACACTGATGGCCTGTGAGGACTGAGCCAAGAAGGCCTCTGAGGCTTCCAACCCAGGCAACTGGGCTTTGAGCTGAAGAGCAAGCCTTTGAAAGAGGGTATTGAACATGGCTTAGAAGCAATTTATTCATCAGAGAGTTTTAACTCCGGAATAACCAAAATAATCCATCTATATGGCAAAAGTATATATATCAAAGAACACTTTGAAATGCAATTAAACATGTTTATTGAAATAAACTGTGAGTCATACAGATTGTTTTCCGCATGATAGAGATGTCATACATTTCTCCTAGTAATAGATAATAGCCAGATTAAACATAACAGTAGAAGAATCTAGAATAATAAATTTTATTACTAAGAGTCTCCCTAGAGGTCAGCAAACCCAACCCTTGAACACATGAGGCAACTAATGACCGGAGAGACTGGCATTCTCCCCCCTACAAATGTTTAGGGCACTGAGCATGTGCCAGGCACTTACTTGGCGCTGGGCATATAGAAGTAAACAGAGCATGGTACCCATACTCAAGTTGCTCATAGCCAGGCTCGTGGGCAACAGTGTCCAGTAAGCAGGAAATTAGCACACAGCCTAATAAGTGTGGTGAGAACTGCATGCTCAAGCTACAGAGTGCACCCAAGCCGGGCCTGGGAGCAGCTCTCTGGGGTCAGCTCAAGTGTGAGCTGACCTGGGAAAGATGAGCAGAAGTCACATAGACAAAGAGGTTGCAAAACTGCCCCAGGAAGGCTTGGGTGAGGGAAAGCATAGTGCATTTAGTTCATCAAAGGCGTTCAAGTACAGAGGAATTCTAGTCCTGGATACTGAAGACAATAGTCTCCTGACTCCCAGTGCAATGCTATTTTTAGAATACTATCTGTCTTTCTAGGTCTCCTGACAAATATGTGATGATTCAGCACATACAGCAATAGTCTTGCATAGAGAAAAGGACACATACACGGCTTATGCTTACCCAGGTAGAGACATTAAGCTGTCCAAACCCTCTTGTTTAAAATGTCTCTTTGAGGAATAATTACTTTGTATTGGAGCCTTTCATTTCCTCCCAAAATTTCCATCAACCCGGTCATGCCATAAAGCTCTTAAGTCTGGAAGGGATTTTAAGGAATCTGTCAGTGGCCAAGGGAGCCTTCGCCCCCCTGGTGCAGGCAACATTGGGGCCATCATCTGTAGAGAACGTAAAACTTTATCATAAAACGGACCAAAACCGTTCTGCATGTTATTATCACCACGTGGCAGCAACCCAGCAATTCTCAGTCACGTCAGTAACGAAACCCTCCTCCCTGCCAAGGCAAGCCGCTCCTGCCACCCCTCGCCCACATCTGCCCCTGCACCCAGATCCACCTGCACGCGCGGAAGACACAGGCTGAACAAATGCTCTGCCCTTTTGTAAACATAGCTTGAGGAGTCAAAACTCATATATACAAAGAACCCCAGATCGGTGTTTATCTTCCTACAATTTGGACATTTCTCTCCAGGGAAGGTTCTTGCCTCTGAAAAGCCTCGAATCCCTTTTGAGGTGGGGATGACATCCGATGCCCGGCTTCGGCACTCACAGGCTTACCAGGAGCAGTCCTCGCTCATCCTCTCCGGCTGGGCCGCCTGGCAGGTGCTCGGCGGGATGAACACCGAGGGGTCTTTAATGCCCAGCTGTATGTCGAAAAACCGTGTGGACAATATCACACTGTAATTTTTGGTGAAGGTTTCCTGGACAGGATAACAATCCTTGATGGTATAAATGCCGATCCAGGTTTCATCTGTCAGAGGAAGGGAAGTTGACTTTTTAACATAGAAGGTAGACAAAATGCCTGTATTTTTTTCTCCTGTGTTAAAATATACATAAAATTCACCCTTTTAACTATTTTTAAGGACAGTTCAGTGGCATTAAGTGCGTTCACATGAAACCATCGCCACCATCCCTCTCCGGAACTTTGTCATCTTCCCCAGTGGAAACTCCATGCCCTCTAACACTGACTCCCCATCCCCCCTCCCCCAGCCCCTGGCCACCCCCATCCACTTTCTGTTTCCATGACCGGGACTACTCTAGGGACCTCAGACAAGTGGAATTATATAGTATTTGTCCTTTAGTGACTGGCTTATTTCATTCAGCATCATGTCCTCAAGGTTCAGCCAATATTATCCATGGCTGAATAATATTCCATTGTTTGTTTACACCACATTTGGGGTATTCATTTATCTGCTGATGGACACTTGGGTTGTTTCTGCCATCTGGCTCTTATGATTAATGCTGCTATGGACATGGGTGCACACGTATCTTTTTGAGTCCTTGCTTCCAATTCTTTTGAGTATACATCCAGAAGTGGAATCGCTAGGTCATATGATAATTCTATGCTAAACCTGGGGAGGGGGGATTGTTTTTACACTGTTTTTTACTATTTCCCACATACACCATAAAGCCTGTGTTTTTGAAACCGTTTTGGGGTAGGCGTATGAAGGATTGCAGAGAAGAGCTTCACATCTATATGCAAAAGCAGACACCGGGTACAACGGGAGTAGATCTGGTCTCTGTGACTTTAGGAAGTGATACGAGGATTCTAAAGTAGACCACAGACAGATGTCTTCCATGTCACAGATCTCAAGACTATTCAATGTCAGAGCCAAGGACAAGCCCATAACAGCCAATGGCAGAAAGGTACAGGGGGTGCTAGAAGGCTGAGGTGTTTCAAATATGACGCTGAGATTCTGGAACTAAACAACCAGCGGGCGGGGAGGGGGGAGAGGGACTTCAAAGCAGGTGCGGGGGACATTAAACAATTTGCTTAAGCTTATAAATTGCCCTAACTACCCTTCCTTAATGGACTTAAACTTTTTCCCCATCACGCTTCCTGAGATGCAGCACTTGGCTATTTTCTGAAGCCTTACACGATCTAGCTGACTTTCTGTCAGACCACTCTTGGACAGTGATCTGCTCCTGGGGCCCCCCTATGGAGTACTGGTCCTCAAACGTGGCGTTTTGAGGGATGTCTAGAGGGTCCCAGGGCTCCGTCAGGGTGATCTTGGAGCACTGCTTCGTGGCTTGTTCAATCTGAAACATCACTCCATCCTTATACAGCAAAATATATTCAAATAATCTGAAAGACAGATATAAAGAAAATGGATCAGGACTTCATGTTACAGTCATCATGCCTCTTATCAGCATACGGTCCAAGGGCCTTCAATACAAATTACTCTTAGAACAAGTAGACAAAAATAGTTTTGCTTACGAGGCAATCACTTACTTATTTATGAGCACTCGATACATTGACAACCTAAATACGAAATCATTAAAATTCAGAGTTCAAAATTGATATTGAATCATTGAGTACCTATTATATGCCGGATCCTGTGCTTAGGCTACAAACAGGAGGAAGACAGGGCCCTGGTTTGTGACTTTTTAGCCACAAGGACCTAGGAGGATTTGACCCTTGGTTTGGCTGAGTTCTCCCTGCAGCACTAAACCAGGACTTACTGGGGTACACTGAATGTAGCATATCCAGAAGCCGCCGAGGTCAGACCACACACCTGTGCCCCATTGTCTCGGCTCTCAGTCACAAGTAATGGGCTTCAGTAAGGCACAGCTGCGTGAGAATGAGCCCCCCCCCCAATACCGGGAGGAGGCTGAGACGCAGACAAAAGTTGAGGGGACCCCAGAGCGACTAGTTTCCCACAGTTTGTCCTCACCTCTCCGGCCCACGCGTACAGCCCATGTGTGGAGCGAGCCAGACGGACTCCCAGGCTGGGCAGGGAGTCTGGACGCCGCCACCATCGCCCTGCACGCCGCGTTGTCCCCAGTCCTGTGTGGATCTTAAAGCTAAGCAATCTTGGTGTTGGGGGAAGCCAACAGGTTGGGCTTCCCTGTGTTTGTCAATCCAAAACTCAGGCCACGGCTGCTGGTCCAGCAGAGTGAGGACGCGGCTCTGACCACACCCCGTGAAATTCACAACCCTTGAGGGCAAAAGAGCTGAGAGGGGGCGCTTTTCCTGAGCAAACAAGGTGAGAGTCATTCCACCCCACAGCCTCCATCTGCTTCCAGGGCAAATGTTCGCCATCCCAAGTCCGAACTTAAAAAGTATTTTCTTCAGAAAAACTATTATAAACGATCACTGTCTACATGGTCAAAATAGTACCACTATTAGGGTTACGCTTCCTTTTTCTATGAGCCAGTATGGAAATGTAAACATGACCTCATTTTATATATTCGGATATATCCGTTTTGCTTCATTCCAGCAAACACTTGAAATAGCTTACGAGGGTTAGTGCCTTTTAGAAGTGGGAGTGATTGCGAACAGAAAAGGAAGTGTTCATTTGCTGCGATACTGCTCACATGAAAGTGGAGCTAACCTCTTATAAAAATACGCATGCAGGGTTCCCACTGTACTGTGAGCCCTTTGCAGGAGCTGGGGTTGTCTCGGGCCCTGTGAAGTCCCTGGCACATCAGTCTAAACATTCATGTATGGAGTACAGACACATTACTCTTAGTGTTAGAGGACTATCCATTCATAAATATGGGACTCTGTACACAAATCCTGTTCCACAGGCTTTTCTGGGGCGGCAGGACCCACAAAACACCTGCACCATGTGCCCTCGGGGGGTTCTCTTCTTTATTCTCCTCACCATCAGCACCATCCTCTCGTGCCTTCCCAAGCCCAGGTTGTCTAGCCTAGACAGTCATTCGTCACACCTGCAGAAACCTCAGTGGTGTGCTTCTCACACCGCAGCGACTGTCCCCTGGAAGCTACGCACCATGGGCAGCAGAGGCAGGGGGTGCTCCTTCCTGAGGACAGCCCTTAGCCCCTGAATCCGCAGGTCACAGAAGCAGGATGGCCAGGCTGGCCGTCCAGGAGCTGGCCATCATCAGCAGAGCTTACTGGACCAGAGAAGGACATGTGACCCAGGGCGAGACGATCAGACGCCCTTCCACGAACCTGGGGGATTGCCACCTCAGGACTGCGAGGCAGTCTCTCTATGTGACTGGACATGTCCCCTGTATACTCAGAGGCCATGGGAGGCTGTTTCCAACATGTGAACTGAGCAGGAGTAAAGAAGGAAGCCGGGAGCATTGGCAAGCTGGGAATCCCAATGGCAGTGCATTTGCTGGACGCATTTCTTCTCTGAGGCTCAGTGTCTGGAGATCCCCCTGCAGAGTTACGATGTTTGTTTCCTTTGTTGTAATAAACTTTTGTGTGACTCAGAACCAGGGCTCATTTCTAATATAGTGGAGGACTCCTGCTGTTCCACTCTGAGCCCCAGAGGACAGCCACCAGCACAGCTGTCCTGGGAGAGACATCACGTGGCCCTGCAGGGATGCCAGGGCCACGGCCGCCTGGTTAGCCCCCAACTGGGGAGGGGAGGGGGCGGCAGGAGAGGAAGGCCGCCAACATCACTGCTGTCCCGGGGCCAGCCCTGCCCATGCACAGAGGGAAAATTTAATTTCCCAAGAAGAATGCTAGACTTGAAAGAATCATCACAAACTATTAACATTTATCCATTCTGGGTGGTCTGAACACAGGTGTTTGTTACAGTGTTCTCAGTACTTTGCTGTTTTCAAAATATTTAATTTTTTCACAAGAGGCCATCATCTGATATTGAGGTTATGTTGACAGTGCCTTAAGTAAAACAGAAAATATTCATTTAATGGGAAACCAAATACAACCGTATAACTGTTTGTTTGGTTGTTTTTCAAAATCCCATATGGATATCAAGGCTAGCACCGCTCCATACTGAGCTTTGGAACAGAAGCTTTTGATAATGCTGTTGCGGCTTGGGTACTGAGGTGAACATAATTCCTAGTTCAGAGGTAAGCTTCTCCATCACAAAGAGGATACAGGCTCTGGAGCCTGATAGAGCCATTAGGTCAAAACGCAGAGATCAGCCAGGGTTGAAATGAATCATCTGCCTGGGATGCTGTGCGGGTAATAACCGGTAGACCCAAAGGACTGGACTGACCGTCTTCAACCGAAATTTGATCCCGGGAAGCAAGATCAAAGCCTGGCTCCCAAGTGGAGGAAGCTGGGAGGACAGGACTCACAAATCACACCCCCAGGGTGCAAGCAAGGTGAGGTGCTGGAAAGGGCCTGGAGGACAAGGCGGGCAGGTCAACAACAGCCGGCAAACTCCTCCTCGCTGGCCAGACCCCAAGCAAAGCCGGCAAACTCCTCCTCGCTGGCCAGACCCCAAGCAAAGCACAGTTCCCGGGAGGGCCCTGCCAGGCCTCAGCTGTGAGCAAGGTCAGGCCAGCCAGGCCCGGCCAAGGGGTCAGCAGGCTGAGCTAGCCACACCAGCCTCCGTGCACAAGAGGTGTCCAGTGCCCCCATTTTGCCTCTCTCCTCGCGGGACCAAGGATTCCTGTTGCTTTTGACAAAATTCTCAGGCTGCACTGACCATTTCTGTTGTTCCCTGAAAATCCACTGTCCTAAAAATTAGGCTCTCCCATCCCCATATTTTCCCAAATACTGAAAACCTGTAGAAGTTTTATATCTTCCGGTTTTTGTAAAACTGATTCATGTTCAAAGTAAAAAAAAAAAAAAATCCCAACAGTACAGATATGGAAAATGAAGTAAAAATTGCCCAGAAACTCGCACTTACGGAGGTAACAACTCTGAGCCTCTGTGTCTAAGCATATACCTATATTTTTATTTAATTTTCTTTAAATTGTGGCAAAATACACATAACGTAAAATTTACCATCTTAACCACGTTTAAATGTGTAGTTCAATAGTGCTAAGTAAATTTGTATTGTGCAACCAATCTCTAGCATTCTTTTCATTTTGCAAAACTGAAACTCTGTGCCCATTAAGCAACTCCCCATTTCACCCTCCCCAGCTCCTGGCAACCACCTTTCTACTTTCTGTCCCTGTGAACTTGACTCTCTAGGTGCCTCATATAAGTGGAATCATACAGTAGTTGTCCTTCTGTGACTGGCTTATTTCACTCAGCATCATGTCCTCAAAGTTCATCCATGTTGTAGCATATGTCAGAATTCCCTTCCTTTGTAAGGCTAATATTCCACTGATTGTATAGACCACATTTTGCTTATCCGTTCATCTGTGTATAGACCCTGGGTTGTTTCCACCTTTTGGCTATTTTGAATAACGTTGCTATGAACATGCTGTGCAAATATCATATTGATTTTTCATTATGTGTACTAGACACGTTTTACAAAAATGAGTGAATATTATGTTTTCTAACCTATGTTTTAAATTCAATAGTTTGTCCTTGATATCCTTCCAGGTCAAAAAATACAGATTTATGGAATCAGTTTTTCTTAATTTACTATGAACTATTTTTAAAATGCTGAAGTTAAGGGACTAGTACAATGATCACCTTTGTATCTACCACTTAAATTCAATAATGTTGACATTTTTCTGTATTTATCTATTTTCTAAATATTTGCTAAAAACAAAGACTTTCTGCCTCCCCACCACACCATTATCACACCTAAGAAATTAAAATTCATTCCCTAATGCCAGCTAATATCTGGTCCATATTCAATTGTCCCCCAAAAATGAATTTTAAAGTTTTTTTTTTTTTAAATCAAAATCCAGGGCACCTGGGTGGCTCAGTCGGTTAAGTGTCTGCCTTCGGCTCAGGTCATAATCCCAGGGTTCTGAGACTGAGCTCCGCATCGGGCTCCCTGCTCAGTGGGAAGCCTGCTTCTCCCTCTCCCACTCCCCCTGCTTGTGTTCTCTCTCTCGCTGTCTCTCTCTGTCAAATAAATAAATAAAATCCCTTAAAAAATAAAATCAGAATCCAATCAAGTTTCAAGCATTATATTTGGTTGTTAGGTCTCTACTATTTTAAAAATCTGGAACACTACTCCTACCATTTTTATTTTTAACATGGCCTTGACTCCAGGTCTGCACAAATTCCCCATTCTAGATTTTTGTCTGTTTCCTCATTTAACTTGCTCCTAAAGCTCCTGTCATTCCTCCAAACTAGACCTGAATTCTAAAGGCTTGATGTAATTTGGTTAAAGATTTTTGGAAAGAAATTGATAAGGTTGTGTGGTTCATGGTGCATCATAGCCGAAGACAGGTGGTATCCCATCCCTGCTACTAACTTTGATCACCAAGTTAGATGATTACTCCAGATGT